ATCTTGAACAGCTCTGTGCTGAGGGAGCGAGACTCCTTCTGGGAGGCCTCCAGCTCAGCCTGCGTTTCCTCATACTTCTGCTTCCACTCCGCCAAGATCTGAGGAAAAGCAGATCATGAGTTCGGATGCGGCAATCATGTTCTGCCCAGGAAACACAGGCCTGGAGCCCAGAATACCTTGTCAAAGTTCTTCTGTTTCTTGTCCAGAGCTGCGCAGGCAGCATTTGCTCGCTCCACGTCAATCATCAGGTCCTCCACCTCATTCTGCAGCCTCTGCTTTGTCTTTTCCAGGGAAGCACATTTGGCATTCACGGCTTCGACGTGTTCCTCGGCCTCCTGCAGGCGCTGCGCCAGCTTCTTCCTAGGAGGTTGTAAGCACAGCTCAGTATTCGGGAGCAAAGTGGAGATTTTTCTGTCATTTTCACTCCTGTACTTAGGCATTCCACAGTATTCTGCCCAGATGCACCCAGTGTAGACTGTTTCCCAAACTTTATTCCCTTTTCCTTTCCTCAAGTTTAGAAATTCCTCACCTTACTGCATACATCATACATTGCCTTTCTCTTGCATTTTCTGTCATGTTGCCTGTTTGCCCATTTGAAACCACAATCTCAACAGCACAAATTTCCCCTTCTTATCACTCCTCTCCAAACTGCTATTTGTCTTTTGCCCTTCAGTGTCCCAGAGATTTCTTCAAATTTCCACTACTTTCTACCAGCCTTCCCCACTCTCCCCACATACTTGGCCTCTTCCAGCTCCTCTGTGCGCTGAATAGCGTCTGTCTCATATTTGGTTCTCCACTGGGCCACTTCGCTGTTGGCCTTGGACAGGGCACGCTGCAGCTCACCCTTGGCTTCCTGCTCCTCCTCGTATTGTTCTCGGAGCAAGTCACAGTCATGGCGGGCAGACTGCAAGGCGTGGGCCAGAGCATTCTTGGCCTGTGGAGCAAATTGAATTAAGGCAATGAACAGCCTGTGAAACAGTAGGATGGTGAGAAAGGAAAAAATGTTTAAAACAATTTGAATCAGAAATCTGCGGTCAGCTCAATGTGAAAAAGTGCATATATATATTCTCAAAGGTTCTTAATAGTTCAATAGTCAGAACATGGAATGTTTGTTCAGAAGATATGATGGATAGATTCTAAAGAAAAAAGTCTGAATTCTTTGAAATTTGTTCTGAATTTCATACTGCATTAAAGTAAAATAGAAATTCAGTTTATATAGAGATGTATCAGCCCTCTTTATACACCATTAATCAATGATATATAAACAGTATACACCATCATTAAACCAACTGAAAATCTAAGGAAGTCCTTTCCTACTTTTATATCCAGTTTGGAGGTGATGCCTTCATTGACTTTCTTCCCCTAATAGAGAGGGTGGTTTGCAAAGCTGTCCACCAGTTTCAAAATGTGCAAAATGAAACATTTTGATTCTACATAGAATTATAGGAATTATTTAAGAAAAAAATTAGCTGGATTCCAAGCCTACCCTGCTACAGGAGGTACCTTTATTTCTTCCTCTAGATGTCTCTTTAATTCCTCAATCTGTTGTGTAAATGCCTGTTTGCCTCTTGATAACTGAGATATCAAAGCATCTTTTTCTTCCACCTGCCGTGAATATTCACCTGAAAAATTTTACAGATAGATTGTAGTTTCTAGAGAAATGCTAAAACAAGATGTGCTTATAACACTTTATGCTAGTTTATAGAGGATAGGCCAACTTGAATACAACATGACACTTTTCTTGGCAGAATTACTTGCAACTTCTACGGGAGTGTATGGATACCTTACCTGCTTCTGTCTGCAGTCGAGCTCTTTGAGTATTGAGGTCATTGATCATGCGCTGATGCTCTTCCTCCTTTGTCTTAATCTCACTCAGCTGATCTTCCAGTGTGCGGCACATCTTTTCCAGATTTGCCTAGGTATGAAAAAGATTTCGGGAAAAGAAGAATATCATTATATTCTGCATGATGCTCTTGTGATGAAAAGTAACACTATTGGGTATGATTGCAAATTGTAATTTAAAGGTTCAGAATCATGTATTTGGTCATAGCATAATAAGCCTAAAGTATCCTATACCTTGGCTTTGGAGACAGACTCCA